ACGAAAATAATGTTAACGACCAACAAGGATTTCTAAACACATTTTTTATTACCCCTATTGTAAACTCTCTGAACCCACCCCCATAGCAAATATATATAGAGTTACAGTGTAGTTAGACGATTAGTTCTTAAAAAACTCTTGAAAAAGGCCTAACAAGCCGAAACATATATGTAGAGTTAAAGTTACTCTTATTAAAAGTTTTTTGAAACATCTAAAAGCATGCTTTATTAAAATACTAATATTTCAACGATGTTTCACAAGGAACCAACCACAGCTTCAGTACAATTTGTTAAAATTGTCTTATGTCTGTCAAAAATAGTAGATAAAATAGTACTTTAACCACAAGGGTAGATTAAAAGATACTTTAACAGCGAGGATAGGTTAAAAACTTTACTTCTTCTCGCACGTTTTTTTAATCGCTTCCATTTTTGAAAATTTTTGTATTCCTTTTCATAAGTTATTCGGGATTTAAATGGAAGTAGTTTGCATATGGCGTTTGCCGCCTCAGCCTGAATATCTGTTGGTAATTTACTTATTTCGTTTTGAGCCATTTCTTGCTCCAATTCAATCAGCAATCGACACGAAAGAGAATTAAAAAATATTGACTCAAAACTGACAACTAAAGAGACAGCTTTTATTTAGTTAATATAAAAAAAAGGTTTTAAATTTATTTTACTTCCTTTTTCTTGACTTCAATTGCTTAAACGAGCAGTAATGTCAAATTAATTGTAAGCGTTTGGGCGGTAGCAGGTGTAACAACGTATAAAAGACCATTTTGACACCTGAATGTGTCGATTCGAGCGTGGAACCATTAGTACCCGAATGGTTTTATTCGTTGTTAGCTATTTTTCCCCTCTGTTGTTGTTTTAGTATAGCGGTTCTTCCGGGAGAAATACTATATTATAAGTTTAAAAATAACAAAAAAGAACCCTTTAACGTCAGAATTGGACAAAAGAATCATATCAGATGTCAAAAGTCAAATTAGCGTTATACCAACATTGTATTTTGTCAGTCAGGACTTGAGAATTTTTTAATTTGCTAATACTACTATTTCTAATTTAATAATCTACGACAATGTCATTATGACAAATTTAACATTGTCATTTGGATGTCATTATGGCTTTCATAATAGCACTAGTGCTATTATGAACTCATAATAACACGCAAATTTTAAAATAAGAAACAAGCAAAAAAAGGTACCTAAATACGTTTATTTATTGTAAATATTAATTATAATATCAGTACAATGGGTTAAATTAATTCCAGACGATGACAGGTGAGTTGAATTTTTAGAAAGTAAATTTATTTCCTGAGTGCTTGAACTTGAAGACCCATCATTGCCAGAAATGTTACCCAAAATATTACATGACACTTTTTTCTTATTTTCTTTGGAATTTTCTATAAAGCTCTCTGCCACTGTGTTAGAGCGCCAACCACCATGTCTTTTAACAGTTAATAAATCCACTCCTGAATCTGCAAGCAACGACGCAGACGATCTACGGAAAGAATGTCCAGTGTATTGTTATGGATTTGGAAGACTTAGCAACAATGCTATTTTATAAGGCATTTTCCCTAAAGTATTAATGCCAACGGGTTGCTTAATACATTTTGCATTTCTGTACCCCATAAAAAATCGAGTATGCTCTGTGTTGCTTGGCCGCATAGCTATATATCTTCGAACCATTTCCACCATATTTATTCCTTCAACATTCCCTTTCGTTATAAAAATATCTCGTGATATCTGTGTTTTCGTAAAGGGAATAATGACATGAATGCATTGTCCTTCATCTTTAACATTTTGCAGCTGCAGATTTGTCAACTCGATACGCCGGCAGGCTCCCGCAAGTCCCACTATCAATGAAACTTTTGTCAGGAAATAAGTTTTATCATCAGCTTCCAACAAAAAACGAGTTATGTCTTCTTTTCTTAAAATTCTCGATTTTTTTGACCGAAATCCTTTCGATTTTCTTTTTAGAAATGCAATTAAATTGACGTACTTACTAATATTTGTATTTTTCTTCACTGATATAACTGAACGTAGCATGAAATAATATACCCAAAGTGATGAAGCCTTCCTATGTTTTGAAAGATGTTCAAAATATGCCAGGAGAACCTTTTCGTTACTACTATTCTTAATTCCTTTCCCTTTACACCAATCTTCTCAAGTTTTACATAGGCTTGCTCTACGTTTGTCTTGATTTTTCAGGAAGTAGGGAATCGACAACGTTTTGCGCAATGCCTTCAATATCCGAAGGGACACTTTCAGAATCAGAATCACCCATATTAATATTATTTTTTACTTTTTGCTAAAACTGAACGTTTAACACAAAATTGAACATCAATAATTGAGTTGTCAAAGTCAAAATGGAAACAATCAACAAGCACGGTTACCACGGCGTCGACTAATATGGGCACCTGATAATTTTGAATTTAATTTATTAATTTTTATGAGGATATCTCTGATATTTTAAATTAAATCAAATCTCTTTGGATCATCCCTCTTGTCGCGTCGTGGATTAGATTTTGAATGATACACGTTCGATACGAACTTTTTAATGAAACTTGTGTAACGAAGTCTTAACGTTACACTGTGTTGTTCATTATGATGTTCGCGTTTCATTATGATGTTCGTATCGAACTTGTACCATTAATAACTATAATAAATTCTGACAGTCACACCTAGCCCTATTTTTTTGTTTAAAACAATTTTTCTCTTGAAAAAAACAAATTGAAATGTTTTAAATTTGCATACAGTACTTTAAGTCAATAACTTATTTCTTCGCAGTATTTCTTTCAGTAATTTATCAGTGAAACAAAGTGCAGTAATTATTTTTATCACATAATTAATCTGTCTAAATTATTCTTTTTGACTTGTTACGCGTATGTAACGTACACTGGTCGTTGCATAAAAAATATACCGACTTCATTTTTGCATAATATTCCCATTAATCAGTGGCTATAATTACGAGGCAGAACAAATTCTCTGCTCTCTGGTTTGCTTGTTCAATTAAATGAAATATATTCCGTTTTTTATGATATTTTTCATTCTTAGTTTGTATTTTGTATTCCTTTCGTACTCTCCTCGCTCCTATTTGTGTTTTTTTTTCTATTTTTGAAAAACTACTCTCAAGAAAATTTTACATTTTTAAAGTTCCCTGTATGTCATACAATATAATTTAATTTTGATATAGATACATGTAGATTATTTCATATGGATCTTTCAACGGTAAAATACGAGAGAAAATTCATTGGGTGCGAAACCGCGAATATCTGCGAAACCGTTAAAAATTTTGAAATACTCTAAATACAAAAAATGTTCATTTTTTAATTCTCCCTCTACTGAAGAAATAATATACAGGGAGTTTCATTTAAAAAAAAACCGAAGAAAAATTATTTTATATTTTATGTTTTTTTGGCGTATAATTTCGGAAACTATCGAAATATATTTCCTCATATCTTAGGATTATGTAAAGTGATCTGAAAGGAAACCAAAAATGCAATATTATACAGGCTGTTCCATTTAAAAAAACTAGATTTGAACTTAAACAAAATTCCCAAGTTTTCCGACGCACTATTGCCGGACCCTGTATATCAGCATTTTTTACCAGTGTTAAAGTATCCGAATCTCAATAAAAAAGACACTGATGTTATCATTAGCAGTATTAGTGATAATATTATGTAGTCCAGATTTTCAAAAATTAAAAAAAATATCAAATCAATCTTAGCCTCAAATAAGTCCATCAAGAAAGATTTTGATATTGAAAACCTGATAACACTCATTTCTAAGTGGTTTTTTGATTGAAATAAGTCATATACACTTTTTAGTATTAATGAATGATACGTAGATAAACATTAATCCCTGTATAATACAGAGCGATCTTTCGAATCGAAAATAAAAAAAAATATATTCAAAAATACACATTCATTATGAAAAGTAACAAACTTTTTCATAAAATTGTAAAATGTAATCCCTGAAATCTTATTTACACAGTACTAAATATGTATCATAACCAACGTGAGATACAGGCCAGAGACATCGATTTGTGACGTCACCGCAATAGTCGGGCTTTTGTATTGTGCCATATGGTACTGCATATAGTTTTTGCATAAATAATAGTATTTATTGATAGTTTCGCCAGATATAAATATGAAAAATATTATACACAAAGGTATTAAAAAATAACATTAACTTTTTATCGCGTTAAAGTAATTGAATAGCATTAAAATTTAGATCTAAAACACGAATACTAATATACATATGTATATTTATCGAGGGCGCGATTTGAAATGCATTGTTGCCAACCATGAACGTCTATTATAAACGAAGGAAGCATTATATTATTGGAATAACATTACATTGATAAATGAGACAGTTATTCGTATTTCTTAAAGTAAATTTAATTTTTCTTTAAAAATAATTATTGATTCGTTCAATTTCACTATAAAATACAAAAATATAATAATATACTATAATAGATATAATTCTACATGAAAGTGAAATACTATTCCTCATTCTTATTTTTTTTTTGGAAGGTATAATATAATTAATGGCTGAGATAGTAGGCACATGCCACCAAAAAAAAAAATACAGGAATCAACTTGGCCATCGGTCACGCCTGTGGCCAATTTTTTTGCGCCAAAATGACTAATGACTCAATTCACGGGCAACCGTTTCTGCTTTTTTTGAAAAATTGCTTCTTCCCGTCACTTGTACAGGGGTGTTTCTTTTTTAATTAAAACAAATAAATCATTTTTTTCGGTTATTTTCTAGAGAAGAAGCAGATTTTCTTGTTTTTTTTACATAGAATTTTTTGTTTATCTAGCAATTTAGTTCTTTTTGTTTGAATTTTGTAAAAAAATAAAGTAATATATTTTAGTTTACTCTGTATCGAATACTTTAGATAAACTCACATTGTCTAATAATCTCTGTTTAAAGAAAATATCAAATTAATCAAACTGTCAGATTTTTTTAATCTCAGCTAGTGAGATAAGATAAACTAAACCTTACCAAAATTGTTTAGTGTTTTGCGGTAATTCACGACATAGTCACCATGACACAATTCCTAAAATTAGTTACGTTAGTTTACGCTTTAGTGTCACTTTTTTACGCGTGTGTCAACGGAAGTGAAACTTGTCCAGGGACACTAGTGTCAAATTTTCATCAAAAAAACTGTACAGATAGAGCTACGGGTACAGAAGCTTACTACCTGGACAGGACCGAGTGTATTCCTAAATGTAAAATATACCCAACCAGTGAGTAAAAAATTAGTGTTTTATTTTTCTGTTTTTTAACTCAAATTAGTGTTTTAGGTGTGGAGGAGGGCCAGTGTACTGATAACACTGACTGTATTTCTGGTTATTACTGTGAAAACCGGTGTGGACCAAAAAGTAAGTTTATTTTTTTTTATTATACCGGGGGCGTTTCAAAAGTGACTCACCTCTATAACTTTTTTATTTGTTCACATAAAAAAGCGAGATTTCGTGTATTAGTATATGACACAAATCAGAATTGATTGATGTATTCAATTAGTTTTGGTCACTTACTGTTTCACAAACATTTTTATACGAGTAATTTGTACTATTTTTTGAACTTTTACTTTTAAACTAAAGTGTCAAAATTTGAACATGATATGTCATTCTATTCAGAATGTTATTTTCTATCAAATAAATTAAATAATACCGTGAGTAGTACTATTTAAAATTGTAATAATTTAAAGTTGTAATAATTGTCAAAAAAAAATAAGGACTATACTCATATCATTACTATACTACATTCATATCATATCGATACTAGACTCATTTCATATTAAATCTCGTTTTTTATTTGAAAAAATAACAAAATCACACGCCAACATATACAGGACGTTTCACAAAATCACTCCGTTATTTTTCCTTCTTTATTTTATTACAGATAATCTTAGAGATTACACTTGTGAAACCGATTCTGATTGTCAAGCTTTACCCGAGGGAGGTAGATCCAAATGCCTGAAGTACTGCGTTTTGCCAAGTACCACCGGTGGAGGTAAGTACTAAATACCTTAAAAAGGTTGTATACAGACCGGACCACCGTAGTAGTAACATAGGCAGAACCGGACGAATTAGCGTATACCCGTCCGCCAGATAAAAAGCAGGCGAAAAAATGCGATAAAATAAAAATAGGTAGATATGTGATAAGAATGTTTCATAATTTGTATTTATTCGTGTTTTAATAGCCTAAACGAATACATATATTCTCGCGACAGTTCTCGTGTAAAATTTATTTTTTAAGTAAAATAATGGATGTTTACGAAGTTCGTGAGAAAATTCAAATTGTAAAATGGTATTTCCAAAATAGGTCTTATCGGAATATACAAACAATTTTTCCACAAACTTTTGTAAAAAGGCCAATTCCATCTTTACCTACTGTATCAAGAGTTATTAATAATTTTGAAACACATGAGTGCTTGTTCCCACAAAAACACAAAAAGCCTGATGTGTTGATTAATGAAGAACAGGAGTTAAAGCAAGTGTTCATTTGTGCTACCGCGGATCAAAATCCCACGTTTTCAAGTAATCAAATTGCTGAGGTGGTTGTCCTGCCCACAATGCCCGTATTGTTCAAGAATATTTGAACAATACTTTTCCCAACCGTTTAATTAGTGGATATGGAACAATTTTGTGGCCGGCTAGATCACCAGATCTTTCTCCCAATGACTTATTTTTGTGGGGTTATGTAAAATCCAAAGTGTATGGTCATAATAGGGCTAATAACCTGGATGAGCTTCAAGTTAAAATACAAGGGGCTTTCCAAACTATTAGCCCTATTATGTTATCCAATGTCAGACGAGGATTTTACGACCGCCTAGGCTTCTGTCTAGCACAAGGAGATGGTCTTTTTGAACACTTGTTATAACTTTTTCTTATTTAGAGTAATATTTCGTTTTTTTTTGGGTTTAGAGAATTTATTTATTTTTAGTTTTGGCTTGTAAACACACTCAAATAATAAATATTTAAGTATTTTCATTTTAAATGTTACCTTAAGTGAAGGTAAACACTTAGGCCCGGTTGTACCAACGAAGTTCACCGACAGATCAACTGTGAACGACGATCAAAGCAAAAAATGCGTTGTACCAAGCCTTTTTCGTTGTTTTGATTATCGTTTTGTTGTTGTTCTTAAGATTTTTCGTAATGGATCCTTTATTAGGTGAATTAACTGACGACGAAGACTTTTTAGAATTAGTGAGACAACATGAACGGCTAAGGAGACCACAAACAGTACGATTTCGACCAAACAATTTCGAAAAATGGAATGACGTGGATTTTAAAAAAAGATTTCGACTTGCTAAACCTATTGTGAATTATTTAATAGAGGAAATTTCCGGTTTAATTGCATCTAAAACAAACAAGTAAGTTTAATTATGTATATTTACTGTATCTTATTTAAGCTTTTATTTTTAGAAATCATGCTTTAACACCAGCTGACATGGTATTTATCACATTACGGTTCTTAGCAACAGGATGTTTTCTACAAAGTGTTGGTGATATCAGTGGTGTAGACAAGTCTACTACGAGCCGCGTGATTACAAAAGTAACTAGAGCTATAGCATCTTTAAGCAAGGACTTTATTAAAATGCCAATGGGAGTGGAAGATAGAAATTCAAAGGCACAAGGATTTTATAATATTTGTCGCTTTCCAAGATGCATAGGAGCAGTTGATTGTACGCATGTGAAGATACAATCTCCTGGAGGGGCAAATGCAGAGAATTACCGCAATAGGAAAGGATTTTTTTCATTTAATGTCCAAGCAATTTGTGACAGCGATTTGAAAATATCTAACATTGTGTGTAGATGGCCTGGTTCTACACATGATTCAATGATTTTTAGAAATTCTAGAGTAAAGGCTGAGTTTGAAAATGGAGTATATGGAAATAATTTATTACTAGGGGACAGTGGGTATGGAGTAAAACCATACCTAATAACCCCTTTGGCGAATCCAACAACGAGGGCTGAAAACTTATTTAACGAAGCTCAGATAAGAACAAGAAACCCAATAGAAAGGTGTTTTGGTGTACTAAAAAGAAGATTTCCTATATTAGCGACAGGAATCCGTTTAAATGTTGATAAAGTAGAAGCAATAGTGGTTTCCGCTACTGTTCTTCATAACATAGCGTGTCATTTTGCAGATCCAACACCATTAGTAACTGATGAAATTGACGGAAGTCAAAGCGGAAATAAACATTGGAAATAATATAAGAGAACATGTTCCAAATGACTTGGGTGATATAAATAATAGTTTTAGATATAGTTTAATTAATGAATATTTTGAATCACTGTAAATATGTTATTTTACGATATAGAATATATTGCTGAGTATTAATTATTTACATCTAGAACTAATTATTTACGTCTAGAAAATGTTTCAATATTATTTTACTAAAACATTCTTAAAATGTCTTAATGTTTTAAAGTCAAAATAACTTGTTAATTAATTAAATTGTGATTATAATTACCGTAAAATAAATTACCATTACATACTCTTGTATATATTTTGATTTATGTATATAATATTAATATTTTTTATTGTATGTATAGGATTATTTTTATATTTTTGATAATTCTGATTATAAGTAGATAATTAAATAACAATAATTAATAAATGATATTAAATTAATACAATTCAGTATACTTGTTTGTACTAGATATGTAATATGTAAAAGAAATAAAACGATATAATATGTATGCATATTTTCAAAATTCATATATATTGTGTGTTAAGTGTTTATATGATATTTTTTAATAATTATATATTTACAGAGTATTTATTGGTCAATTATTTTTTTTATTAGTTCCTTGCTAAATTTTAAAAATTGAATTCTCTCATCATGCTCCCTTTCTTGCTGCCTCATAAAGGCTTCTTGCTTTTCTTGCATTTGAGACATTTTTAAATTGTGCTGTTCTAGGAAACATTTCTTTTGAAGCTCAGCTAGTTCAATTTTTGAACTACTCCAATCTGTTAATTTTTTTGTTAAACCCCTTACATACCCTCTAAATATATATTTCACTTTATATAATAATATAATATAAAAAATAAGGTATGATGTACAGATGTATTAGCTAGAAAGTCTGGTCTAAAAAGTAAATGAACGAATCGGTCAGCCGCGAACAGGTATTAAAAAGTCGTATTTTATGGCAACAGAAAGGAAAAAAGGTACCATAATTTATATTTTAGGAGAACCCGCCAATCAATAAAACAAACTTTTAAAAGCATTTACGCCAACTTATATAAAAACTCCAAAAGTTACTGTGAAATTCAATACCAACATAAGAAACTAAATATTGATCGACGTTCTACTGAACGCGAGTTGGTGCAACGCAATCCAAGTTCAACTTTGACCAACAGATCAGTTGAACTCTCGTTCAGTTTATTTTGGTACAACCGGGCCTTAAAATGAAAATAATAAATACTCGGCACTCCTCGCGTCGTATTCCTAGTCTGTCACGACCGACCCGTCCAAGCACAACTGCAACTGCGTACTGCCTGACCAGCCGACTAGCCGGCAATCTCGAGTACGAACGCAAAACGGGTAAACGTAAATTCGTCCGGCAACTTGCTATGTTACTGGTAGCCTGGTCTTCTCTGTATATATTTCTTAATTGATCTCAAGTTGATTTGCAGTGACCTGTATGTCATACCACTCGAATTTGCCAGAATTTGTAAATAGTTACTGGACTGCGCTGATTTTTAAGCCAGTTTGCAACGATGACGGGGATTGGGAAGCCAAACAGTGCAAAGGAGGTGTTCACGGAAAGTTAGTATTGCATACGATATATTATGATAAAAGTTAGTCAATAATTCACTTCCCAGGGTAGTAAAATCAAAAATAACTAAACTATCCAAGTGTTTCACTTTTTTTTCTCGCTATTAAGGGGATGTAAGGGAACGTTAGAACATTCTGGAAATTAAAAGACATGGTTTTCTACAATCGTGATTTGAGCACAAAAACGAAACTTGCAGTTTGCAGTGTACCGAGCAATAATAATCCTCACCATGTTATATAGAAGCAAAACCAGGGTGCCGTACCGCCGACACATGAACGCATTAAAAAGGAGAAAAATCGAAAACATCGTCGCTGGTGGCAAACCCAAATTTTTAAAAATCGATATAATTTGATATGGGCTATGATCAGTTCAAAAACTTTACAAGAATGACCAGACCCGACTTTGAATATTTACAAAATTTAATAACACCAAAATTTACGAACAAAAGATACAAATTTTAGAATAGCAATTTCATTAATATCGACATATTCAATATTAATTTTATTTACAAGATCTTGCCATGCGTTTTTTTTATTTTTTAATAATTCAAAGAATGTTTAACATTCCATAATATAGGCAACTTTTCATATTCTTCAATTAATAATAACGAAGATTTCTTAGAATTTTTTTTAGAATTTAGAATGAGTGGGAGGGGGGTTAATCACTTCGACCTTACAGATCCATTGTGTCCCCCTTTCTTGAATCATAACTCATCATACAGTCCCAGGGCTTTGACAAAAGCCAGTATCTGGGACGGCTTTATAGAGGGTAGTTCTCCATCTCCAATATCAGTCGTACCAAAATTCATGGCACGAATGGTTGTCGTCTCGGCGCACTCAGTGATGAGGTGTACTGGTGTTTCACCATCTTCCCCACAGAATCTGCATTCGCCGTTTCTTCTTAGTTTCAATCTACTGAGGTGTTCATTGATGAGACAGTGTCCTGTTAAAAACCCCGTGACAATCCGAAGATTGTTCTTAGTCAGACCCAGGAAGATCTGTGATTTTTCTTGATCATAAGCCCTCAGAAACTTCTTCGAGTGTCTTAGACCATTGCAAGATTTCCATTCCAGGTTGCGGATGGAATCTTCCAAGTTCTTGAGTTCCGCCTTGAGTTGGTTACCACTTGGAAAGCAGAACGGTTCTGGTCCAGTTAGTGGAGTGTTCGCTCCTTTCCTAGCTGGATTATTTGCTTTTTCATTGCCTTCTATCCCTTGGTGAGCAGGCACCCAGTGTAGGAGGACTTTGTTTTCTTTGCCTAATTTATTCAGCTTCTCTATGCATTCTTTGACCAATTTCGAATTGATTGATACTGAGTTGATCGCCTTTAACGCTGCTTGACTATCAGATAAGAAGATTTCTTGATCCACTCCATAATTTTAATAAAGAAAACGAAAAAAAAAATCACACACGCACGCACGAACGCAGACAAAACAAATTGCTGGTGCAAACTGAGCGTTAGCGCACACATAAAATCCCTTTGAGCACGGACCAAAAACCGACACCAGACGGCTCACGTTTGCGGCTGCTCGCGCACAGGCAGATTCAGAGTGAGAGTGCGCGCACAGCCGTTTACACTTGAGCATTCGCGGAGGATCAGTGCGTGCGTGCTCAAGTCTAAACGCACCATTAGACTTTCCCTAAAAACTCTAGCTCCTGTTCCATTAAACAAATTCCAATTACAAAAACATGTTATTTTTTTATGAAATATGCAATGCTCTTTTGCTAACTTGGTCTCTCTAGTCCAACTTGTAAGTTTTGACTAATCTTCTTAATATTTTTTAGGTGTATTTGTTACAGTTCCACAGGTGTTCGGTTGTTTGGTGAAGCTTTGTACCAAAAAGCAGATAATATGACTTGTGGTAAGTATAATTCGAATTGAACCCATAGATGAATTATATTACTAATGAATTAACACTAGCTTGCAGTAGAAAGAAAAATGACATGGAATCCAATGGTAGAACAATGGTAACGTTACATTGCGACAGTATGGGTAACTATGAAAGTTTACAGTGTGACATGGAGAAAGAAATATGTTGGTGTGCTGAATCTAAGACAGGTGAACCAACAGCACCATTTGTTCCAGAAAAAGCCAAGGAGAAACTACCATGTTGTAAGTAAAGTATATCCAAAAATTTACATAGGTATTATTTTTATTTTGTTATAAAATTTATTTGTTATTATCTTTTTTCTCTACTTAGATATATCGACAACAGTTGGTTCACAATACTTGAGACAATGTGAGAGTAAAAAGTATGCTCAGTCGATGATCACAGCTAAATTGAAGGCCCATGGTGCCAAATATGTTCAAACTGATACATTATTGTGTAATGCTGATGGAAGTTACGGAGCATATTCTGTTTCATCCGGAATGTAGGTTAAATCTTCTTATTTTACTCTATCGGTGATTTCCTCAAAAATAATATACAGGGTTGTTCACCAAATACGACACGGAGTATTGTTGTAGCTAAACGATTAGATATTTAGAAATTGTAAGTTTTAGGTTCGTTGAAGGACTATTAGGGCTACAATTTAAAAATATTTTTACAAGATACAGAGTGTCCCAAATAAATAAAAAATACCAAAGTTGTATTTTTTTAAATGTAACGCCCTGTATATTATTACATTTTTAGTTTCTACGATTAAAATAAAGGTAAATTTGATTAAGGTTTATTACATTTAAACCTTACCGTTTTTGAAATATGTTCAATTTTGTGAAATTGCAGTGAAAATTTTAAGGCTTCATTTCTCCAAGGGTATCAAAGTTTTTAATACTAAATATTTACTGAAGTTTATTTATTGATCAGTTATTGTGTTACAATGATAAAAATTATACTACCTTATACAGAGTGTCTACAAATTTATTTTAAATAATTACTAGCTTTAAACGGCAATAACTTGTTTAATTTAAATGGAACCCACTGTATATTTTATGAGAAGCAGATGCACAATTTAATTGTCTATGAAATTGTATCATACCATTTTTTACCGATCTCTTCAAGTTTCCGTGGAAAATGCATTTTCTTGTAATTTAGAACTCATTTCTCAATATACCCATGGAATACTGACATTTTAGATTATTTTTAAAGGCGTTCTAAATTTTTAAAGAGTACAGATATAGTTCGTTTATTTCATTAAAAAGTAAAAAAAAACTGTTTAAATATTTGTTAAAGAGGACCAATTAATATGATTTCAGTATTCAAACTACATTAATTGACTGTTTGCGTTGATTAATAATAATTAATAAATATATTTTTAAATTGTAGCTCTAATAGTCCTTCAACGAACCCAAAACTTACAATTTGTAAAAATCTAATCGTTTAATCGTGGTGAGCAACCCTGTATAGATTCAATTAGATTGTGACATTATTTTTTGATACATTGGCAAAATTCCAAAAATTCCAAATAGTTTAAAAAAATTGTCGATAAAAATATGACTTTGAAATAAGATAATACAGTACGTTTCATAATTTCTCTTTTACAGAGCTTATTGTACTTGGAGGGATAACAGTAAAATAGGAACATGGCAGTCTAACATAGCTTCAAACACAGCAAATTTGAATTGCAGTAAGTATATTTTTATTATTAATTCATTTTTTTTTCTTCTTTGACAGTACTTTATTAACTCGTTTTTCTCGTTATGATAGATTGTGCCAGGGATTTTAAACAGTACAGCCACTCCATGGACTGTGAAGGTAATGGGAACTACGTAATAGTACAACATTACCAGGATGACACAAATACATTGAAGTACTATTGCGTTGATGATGATGGGTTTGCTAAAACTGGTTTGCTTGATGATAAAAACGTTAACTGTTCTCTTTATTATTAAATAGTATTAATATTAATTATTGTATGTAATAAGAAATATATTTTTATTAAATCAACTTTTTTTAATCACGTGGTAAAGCAATTAGGTCGGTTTTTGCAAACAACTGTTGTAACAAATTGCCACTTCGGTCTGGACAGCAAGTTAATAAGCATTTACAAGCATTTTCCAGGCCATGTAGAATATAGAATGAGTAAGAGGGGGGTTAATCACTGCGACCTTGAAGATCTATTGTGCCCCCCTTCCTTGAGTCATCACACAGACTATAACTCATCATACCCCTGTTGTAGAGGGGAGTATTTCCCATCTTCCTCTGACAACAGTTCTTCCTCCGAGGGTACACACCCTTTCACAGTTGGAGTTTGGCCCTCCGTGCCCTTCACAGTCGAGGAGCTTGCCTCCGGCTGAGGAACCCGTGAGGTGGAGGCTCTCACCATTTTCTCCACCTCTTTATCTTGGTCTCTCATTAGACCTGATACCGGTGTTGTTCTGTAATAGAGGTATCTGTAATAGAGGATATGTCCCTCTTTCTCTATCGCCTCCTTGGATTTGAGGTCAATTCCTATTGTGAGGACCTGACCTGTGTCTTTCCCCTTGCTCCTCGGCAGACAGACCATGATGGCTGCCTCTTTAGGGATATTTTCTCCCTTCACTGCAACCAGTTTCGGCCCTTGCCAATTTTTAAGCTTATATGCGATTTCCACCAACCAATTCGCCGATTCTTGAGATACACAATCTATGAGGATCATGCCCACCCCAAAGGGTATCCCAGCAAAACGCAGCTGACCCACATTTATGTAGATCGTTGTGTTGCGATCCGATAACCACTACTTCGTCCAGTATAGCCTCTTCTAGAGACGTTTGCTGGTCGGTGGTCAGAGGACCTCTGGGAAATCCTTTGGCAGCACCGCCATTTTCACTTATCCAGCAATAGCAGCAAAGCTGGTGATACGTCCCTGCTTGCCTCCCGGTGTTGGACGGCTTTCCATCCTGACTTTTTTCTCTCCCTGCCGGAGAAAAGGTGAGATATTCTCTCTCCCTCTCTTGCTCTTTGATGGAGATGAGTCAGGTTGTTTCTTGGTTTCTTTACTCTCCCCTTTTTGGAGGAGTGTTTTCGCTTTTACTTCCTCTGGAGCAAGTCCTTCGTGGACCAGTCTAACCTACAGCGGTCCTACTCTCAGAGGATCGTCTAGCCCGCCTGGTTGACCCAGGCCGGGTAGACGAAACAGTAGCTTATGTCGCTTATTGGGTAGGCTCCCGACCCTTGCTGGAGAAGGTGGTAGCTTGTGTGCCACTTGTTGAGGATGATCCCAAGCAAGTGTCAGCCGCCCCTCTTGTAGTTTCCTTTGGATTTGGTCCCTTGGAACTTTCATTTGTAATGTTCCCAGTGTCGCTAGGGGGCTTCCCCACAACTTCACCGTTAGTGTTTTTAATGCTAGATCTCATAGTGTTCCCACGAGTCGCTAGGGATAGTCAGCCAACTTCTACAGAGCCCCGCATGTAGAAGTAAGGGGTAAATACAATGGGGTGCCCCCTGATGCCCCAACGTTGAGGCCAGTAATGGCTAGTCCTCTATCTAGCCACGCACCCCTTTGACCTGGTCCCGCCATCATAGGATTTAGGTTTTTGCCGAGATTGTCTCCTTTTGGTCCAGGCGGTTAAGCCAAGACCCCCCCCCCACACCCTCTACCCGCGAGACCATACAATCATCTTATCATATACTTTCCAGGCCAAACAATCATCTGGAATATTGTTTTTCAGTATTTCTTTGATGTATACGCACCTTAACATATGATATGGTTGTAACTAAAATAATAAAACCATCAAAAATGTAATTTTGTAGTAGGAATTCGATGCCAATTTAGACCAGACAACCACAAAAGGGTCCGCAATCCCTTTTTTCATCCCTACAAAGCCGAATATAAATAATGAAAGTGATCGCATCGGCCACCAGAGGGCGTGTCGCCGCTGGATTGGTCGCTGACCGGATATCCGCCGGATCGATAGCTGGAAAAGCCCCGGAGTTTTCCGGACTTGCCATTCATCGGGCTCCTTTTGCTTTGTAACGATCGCGCGGCCACGAGTACAGCGCTGTGAGGAGGTATAAAGCTCAAAAAAATGTTTTTTTTTTCGAAAACCAAGAAAAATAAATGAGAAATTTATTATGAACCGCTGACTTATAAATATACTTGTGCTATACAGGGTGGTCCGAACTGTATTCCGGAAACTTCGGCAGCATATTCTGCATATGAAAATAAGTAAAAAAGTTCGTGTAAATGTGTGTTCTAAAATGCTTAGTTTCGGAGATACAGGGTGTAGAAGTTTCATTTTTATTTCGATTTTTTCTAAATAATTTATGAAGTAACGTCAATATTTGGATGAAAATTGGTGTCTGGAAGTTTTTTGACATGTGAAATTTGATTTTGATGTCAATATGACTCCTGTTAGAAGAGGGCGCCACCTACATGTTTTTTAACTGGTTTGAAGAGAAATAACTTTTCGTCCATACCTGTATAAAACTACTGAGTAAAAAAATATACATTTACGACGTTTTTTGAGTAAAAAAGGTCTCTTGGTAAAAATCGCTACCAGTAATGGTTCTTGAAATATTTTTATAATCGAAATTATCAGTACCTGTCATCATTGACATAAATTAAACATGTTGACTAAATAGTTATTAGACTGAAATCATAAATTTGAAATGTTTTTTTGCCAAAGGTTCGACAAAAACTGTTTTATCGTATATTTTTCGCAGAAAAGTTTGACTATAATTAAAAAAAATTCGCAAATTTGTTATATTTCAGTCAATTTTTTTTTGTCAATTCCATTCCAATTTCCATTCTAAATATCTTGAGAACGGTTGCGCGTAACGATTTTTACCAAGATACATTTTTTACGTAAAAAATGAAGGAAATGTATATTTTTTTACTTAGTAATTTTATACAGGTACCGACGAAAAGTTATTACTCTTCAAAACAGTTAAAACACATGTAGGTGGCGCCCCCGACAAATAGGAGTCATATTGACATCAAAATCAAATTTCCCATGTCAAAAAACTCCCAGACACCAATTTTGATCCAAATATTGACGTTACTTCAGAAATTATTTGGAAAAAATCCAAATAAAAATGAAACTTCTACACCCTGTATCACCGAAACGAAGCATTTTAGGACATACATTTATACGAACTTTTTTACTTATTTTTATCTGCAGAATATGCTGCCGAAGTTTCCGGAATACAGTTCGGACCACCCTGTATATAGAAAAAAAATCCCACATCAGTAACACATCAAAACTCACTTTTAAAGTAAAGTATTTTGGTGTATTGTGGTGTATTAGTGTCCTGTTTTGCTTTTATTAATATATTTAAAAAGTTAAAAAAAATAATTATTTACAAGGATTACAGACAAGTCTATAAGCAGTGTTTTTCCACTTTTTCTATGTTGCAATTTATAACATAATATTAATAAAAACAAACTAATTAACTATCCTTAATTACAGCTTAATCTAAGTGATATTTCATCAGTTTCAATGTTAGGTAATGTCATCAATTAGGTGTCGACTTGACACTTCTAGCTACTGATTTAATTGATTAAGAGCCAACAACCAATCAGATGTGTTTCACATTATACACATCGGGACAGGTCAACTCTGTGTATAGGATTTTAACGTGTAAGACAGTGATGTAGGCAGCTTAATGGCAAATCAAATGTATTAAAAAGAGAAAAAAGTTGGGTGGGTATGGGTGGGAACATTTCTTCTGACCGGTATTGCCAGATTTTGCATCAAAATTTCAAACCGCATAAGTAGACGTTTCAAAAAAATGTGGCATCTAGGGTTGGATCTGGATTTTCAACAATTAGTTACTCATTTTACTACAACTGTAATAGATTACATTTAGCTTAAATATATTATCTTCATTTCAGTAGTATACATGAACATTTTTAACATAGTTTATTTTATTCTAATTTCTTTGATATCTCAAAATTATTCTCTTATACTAACCTGTACTAATCTCTATGATTTTACCAATGCTTATTCACGATCATGTTTTGGTCAATTTTACCCATGTTTTTGTTTCTATCTCAAAAACTATTATAGATAAGTATTCTTCTTCTTCTTAAAGTGCCAAGCAGATTCCTGCGTAGGCGACCGTCCATTTGCATCCTGTCAGATTTCTCTATTTAAAGCAGCATTTTGGAGAGACATAAAGTCATGTATTCCCGTCCATTGTCGAATGTTCCTGAGCCATGAAAGTTTTTTTCTTCCTATTCCCCTTTTTCCTTCGATTTTTCCTTGTAGGATAAGACGTTGGAATTCATAACGAGGACCACGCAGGATGTGTCCCAAATAAGACGTCTTTCTTTTCTTAATGGCGTCGAATAGTTCACGGCTAGTCAGACCGGCTTTTCCAAGGACTTCTTCATTTCTTACCAGGTCTGTCCAAGGGATTCTAAACATTCTTCTAAGAGTCCACATTTCAAATGCCTCCAGTCTGTTTATCGAGGTTACTTTAAGAGTCCAGGCTTCGACACCATACAACAAGACGGACCAGACATAACATTTAACCATTCTATATCTGAGTTGAAAGCTGAGATCATTATTCGTTAGGAATTTTTTAAGTTTAAGAAAAGTTGATCGAGCTTGTTCAATTCTGCTTCTGATCTCGACTTCTGGATCCCATCTGTTTGTAACGAGGCAGCCTAGGTATTTAAATTTAGTGACTTCCTCTATTAGAATGCCGTTTAGATATAAAGGGGTGGCAGGGATGTTATTTTTGCTAACCACCATAAACTTGGTCTTCTTTGAGTTAATTTTTAGGCCCAGGTGCTCACTTTTCTCCTGAACCATATGCAGAAGTGCTTGAAGGTCGTCAGCGTTGTCTGCCAAGATTACTGTGTCATCGGCATATCTAATATTATTGATTGGGATGCCATTTACTCTTATACCAATTGTACACATTGACATTACCTCGGCAAACGCTCTTTCTACATACAGGTTAAATAGCATAGGTGAGAGAATACAGCCCTGCCTTACCCCTTTCTTTATTTCAATGTC